GTTTGGAATTAAATGAAAATTCCTCTGAGAATGACAGGGTAGTAAAAGCCAGAACTTATCTTATGATACTTTTTGGTACATTTTTATTTCCCGAAAGTACGGGAAATAGTGTAAATTTTATGTATTTACATTTACTAAGAAATTTTGAAAAAACAAGAAAATATAGTTGGGGTTCTGCAGTTTTAGCCCACCTATACAGTTCCTTGTGCAAAAATGCAGTCAAGGAAAAATGTACATTTTATGGGTGCGCTTTTTTACTACAAGCCTGAGGTTGGTGGAGGATGGAGTCCTTAAACCCCGTCAACAACAACACTTTCGGTTTCCCGTACGCAACAAAGTAAGTCATCAAGTTATAGCATTTATAACTATTCATCTCTTCCCCAAATATATGCTAAGAATAAAATGTTTCTCATTTCCTTTAGGTACTGCGTGAGGGGTATGGATTACAGCAAGAATCCAAGATTCAATGTCGCACTCTACCGCAATCTGTTGGATCACTTAGGCCCGGATGACGTACGTCGTAGCTTTTAACTTTTGTTCATTTAAATTATTTATACATTACTTTTGCGTTAACCTGATTTAAATTTTATCGCAGTTCATCTGGAGACCATATTTGGGTTTGGGCCATGATCCAAACCCGGAGGATGCAGCAACTTGGACCGCGAAGACTGCAATCATTCGGTTCAACATTGTGGAGATGCACCACAGCAACCGTGTGAAGATGCAGTTCGGAATGCATCAGGAGATACCAAGTGATCCAACTTGTTTGTCCCCATGGCATCTTAAAAGGGTCGACGCCCAGTGGGGTCTTACCAACTGGAAAGACTTCGCTCCTGAATGGTGTAAGATGTGGCAGAGGCGTCACCGCTACGTCTTGCAATTCCCGGTTTTCCTTAATCAAGGTAATATGCGACACACAGATCAATATTTGTCTTGGTACAGGTCGGTTAGTAACCCGGAGATGCACGTGTCTCATCCAAGGTACTTGGTTGACCCACGCACACAATGGGCACAACCCTCGTTTCCACAACAACAAACCCAAAACCCATCAACCTCCCACCAACCCCCAAGAAGAAACAGACCCACAAACACCCAACCACAGTCCCCACCACAACACAACTACACTCAAATGCCACACAACCAACCACAATCACCACCACACTACCAATACCCCGATATGCCTCACACCCAACCACAATACCAATCCCAATACCAGCACACCCGCATACCCCACACATAATTTCAGTCTTCCGTATACCCCTCAACATCCAGCCTTAGCCCTGATATGGGAATGTCGGAAGATTACGAACAAACCGACCCAACCTACCATCAACCACCATATCACCAAACCACCCAACATCCTCAATACCAAACACCCCAAGATCCATTTACTTTCTACCCACCATACTCAGATGATCAATGCTACAGACCCACTATGGAACCCCACCCACCGCCAACATGACCAAACTTTGAGGGTATGGGTAACCGACTGTACCAAAGCGGATCTTCTAGATATGGAGATCTGACTGATTTTATGGATCCGGACCGCATTGACTTCGCTGGGCCATCGACCTTGCCGCAACAGGAAACACGACGACACCCAACACGAGAAAGGCGAGGACGGGGATGCGGAACCGGGGGTCATTACCGGGTTCCGGGGGATCACTGATTTATCTTTTTTTTTTCCTGTATTTTTTTATTCGTTTTTTTTCTTCTGTTTTTTTATCTGTTATTTTAATGTAATACAGTTGGATGTAATTATTTTTTTTAATAAAAAGTCCATTTTGTTGATCCTCTATCGAACACGCAACACACCAGACAAAAAAATAATCACATTTTGCCCTAAAATAACACCTAGGCACCATCTCACTTGGCTTAGGGCATGCCCTAAGCACATAGGCGCCAAGTGAGATGGCGCCTCCCCTTAAAATATAGGTGCATGCGCCATTTCAGATGGCTCCTCCTTTGGGGAGTTATCTGAAACATGGTTATTTGCATAATTTTTTCCGAAACCCGGTTATTTGCGAAATATTATTTTAATACATGGTTATTAATAAAAAAAATTCACTATGAGTCTAGGCATAACAAAACCCATAATATTCTCATCATAAATCTCTTTGACTACTAAGGGATAATCCTCAAAAAACCTAAGAGATAAATTGAATGTGTATCCCAATTTTGCTAGCACATCCGCACACCGGTTTGCCTCACAGAAAACATGAACAATATCTATCTTTCAATTCCTATTCATCCAGGTTCTAATTTGATTCACCAGCGAGTAACCACAAGACAATTTGATTTGCCTTGTTTTAATCACATTTATGACCATTATCGAATATGAATTAATCTCAACAACCCTAAATCCCATCTGCCATGTCATCACGATTCTTCTCTTGGCAACCTTCCTTATAGTGGCCAAACCTACCACAGTTCTTACATAACAAATGAAGACCTTTGTATTCGGATATTTGTGTTCCTTAATAGTAAACATAGCCACCAAGGGTTTTGTCAAATCTACTGGAACACATATCCTAGCATATTTTCCATGTTCTTGTGCTAACATATTCTTGTCTACTTTGACGATCTTTCCAATTCTATTTCCTAAATATTTCAGCGCCTTCTTATCATAATATTCAATTGGCAGTCTCGAAACTCGCACCCACACCGCCACTTCCTTTATCCTATCACTCGCTGGTTGAAAATCCAGGCTCTGTTCTTTGATTGTTAAATAATGGTCGTAGATGAACCAATGTCCATCCATAAGCGCAACACACTGGTCATCCTCATGTGAAAAAGTGACTAAATAATAGTCATTACTTATGTCAATGATATAGATTATTCCCTTCCGCACCCATATCTGCTTTAACCTAGTCTCAAGTGCCTTGTACCTTATTCTCCTCCCCATCAGCTTCACAATCACTCCCTTTCTCCATGGTCGGTAAAGTCTTTGTTCTTCTTTTTTAGAGAATATGAAATTAGGGCATTCATAACCTCCAATGGTAACCTCCTCAACCCTCATCCGTACTTCCTCTCCATCACCGTCTTCATTAGCCTCAATGTCCTTATCTACCTCTTCATTGTCAAAAGTTTTCTCCATAAAATTCCCCATCACCTTCTCAAGATAGGGCTACTTCACCCCCTCCCTCCTGTTGCATCACGACTACATCAGTATAGTCCAACGGCCGTGAGGATGTAGTAGAGAAAATATGATCCCCATCTTTCACCTTCTTAATACTCCGCACCTATAATTCTTCCTTAACTTTTGACTTTTCATGATTACTCGCCGTCTTTCCTATTCCATGCCCTAGCAAAGCCATTAGAAATAAAGAAAAAAAGTTAGCTTAATTTATTTTTTAAACAATATCAACCACTAACTTCCTCGACTTCTAAATAACTATATATTGGAGAAAAACAATCATTTGTTTGAGAAATAATCAAATTTCACATTTCATTATAAATATTTTGAAAAATTATGATTGTGAAATTCTCAAACTTTTTAAAATACTCTTATGATTTAAGTATGAATTGATCTAATTTATACCGTTCAAAAAATTATAAAAAAATATTCGAAAGAATCCTTCTAAAAGAGAATAATATTGTTGACCATATGAGAAAATTCTAAAATATAATAGAGGTGAAGAGAAACTTTCTTAAATTTATTTTTGAAACATTCTCAACCAATAACTTATAGTCAATATTTAAATAATTATATATTATAAAAATATTTTATTTAAAAAATAATCAAATTTCACCTTCCATTACCAATAATATGAGACATATTGATTGTGGAATTTTCAAACGTGTCTTAAATACCTTATGATTTAATATTAATTGACCTAATTTATAGAGGTTAGATGTTAGAAGAGAAGTGGTAAATTTTAACTAATTGAGCTTCCTATAGATGCTTGGATACTAAACTTAAAAAAGTGCTAAATTTTGAAATGAGATAAATTGAAGAATATTAATGAGAACTCAATATTTGGACATGATCCCCACTCCCTAATTATTACACATCTCTCCAACCCTAATCCACAAAGCAAACTAAATATTAAAAGTTTATAAAAATGATGTCAATTTCTCTCTCTCTCCACATCAATCCATCTCTCTTTCTCTCTCATCCTCTCTGCAACAAAACCAACTCTCTCTCACTCAAACTTTTCAACACTTTTTCACAAGCAATCTCATCTCTTAGGAACAAAAGAAGAAATAAATTAAATATAGAAAATCCAAGGTTCTCTTCATTCAATCCAAATCCATTATTCTTCTTCATTTCTCTTACCCTTTTGAAACCCTTTTACTTTTTTGCTTCAAAGTTTCAACCTTGATCTTCTTCACCCAACTTCATAGTCTCTCCAATTTCAGATTCTAGGTTTTTCATTGTTAATGGGTTATTTTCAAGTTCATTCCTTTGATGGATTTTGACAGTGTTTGGTCTTAAATGGGTTAAAGGGTCAAGGTTTCTAGTGCTAGATTTTTCAGTGGGGTCGAGGAAAAAGTAGAGGAATCACATTGTGTTTTGTGTAAAAAGGGAGGGTTTTTATCTAACTTGATAAGATGTTGCTTTGTGTTCTTTTGTTTTGGTGGCTTTTATGAACAGTGGTTGCTTTTTTTGGAAGCTTATTTTGGAAGCAATTTACTTCACTTTTGAACGTGATAGATAGTATTTAGTGCTATCATGGACTCACACATTGCTCTCTTTTGATCCATTTTTCTTTCTTCTTTTTTTTCTTCTTTTTGGATTTAGACTCATTTTTACTTGTGAAACCCGTGAAATTTCTCTCTTTTATTTATGGTGTTGGAGTAGTTGGTATGTTAATTTAGTGAAATTGGGTAGATCAGACTGATTTATTTTTATGGGTAGCATTAATGATTTAGCATCACAAATGTTTGGATATAAGGGTAATTGGATTTATGATGGTTGTCAATAGATTTCGATGATGTTTTAGTTTTAGTTTTAGTCATAGGATTGGGGTTTCTAGGGGTGGAATCTAAAGGAGGCCATGGTGATGGAGGATATAGGGTTGTTCAATCAAGTTTGGCAATGGCTTAGGTTGCGGAAAGATGCTTGTTGGCGTGCTCGAACTGTGGTAGTGTGTTGTAGAGACAGAGCCACGATGTTTATGGAAAGACATTGGCCTACGGTGTGTAAGGGTTGCTCAATGTTGGGGAGCTTACTTACATTATCGTTGATTTTTTGGAAGGATTCTGCTCTAAGGGGGTTTCAGTCGTTCATTAGGTTTGGTTCGGTGATGCTCTTGCTTATAATGTGGAGCTGTTTTCTTAGTCTGACTTCGATGTACTGCTTGGTTTACGTGCTTGTGAGTATGGTATGTATTTGTTTTCAGCCTGTGTGAATCTTTGTTCATGCTGTTTGCATTAGTTAAATTCGGTAACTAATACTTTTGCAAAGAATTCAGTGCTTCTGACAGTTCAATTGAATGCTTCAGGTTACTGCTGGCGTTGCGATCCAATACTTGGGTTATACTCCTGGGCTTTTTATCGTAGGGCTTTTCGCTATCCTTATTTTGTGGATGTATGCTAACTTCTGGATAACAGGATTGTTACTCATAGTTGGAGGTATGATACTTTTATTATTGTTCGGATTTTCAGATGTGTTTTCTTAATGACCATGATAAAGGAAGAGAGGACATGCCTATTGTTTTATCATATTGTTTACACTTTGCTGTTAAAATTGTGAAAAACAATCCTATGAGTTTTTGCCTCTAAACCGTGCTGGATTACCATGGGATCAGGAACTGTTGAGAACAAATTAGAATTACAATTAAATCGGATGCTCCTCGACGAGCTTTGATGAGCCGGGCCGACCTGAAGCACCCCTTTTGCCCTGCGACACCCCTCCACCTCTGCTGCTTTGTGTAGGCTTTGCCATGACGTCGCGTTGCTTCCTCTTCATCATTGCACGTTGTGGCCAATCCCTCTGGTGGTTTCTAGACTGGATGCTCTTCTTCCCGTTTTGAGTTTCTAGACTTTATGACTCTAGATGGAGCCTTTAGTGTTAGATATGTTATTATTTTGCTTCTTTGTTGGTTTGTTTTATTTGTGTTTTATTTTCTGCCACATGCTTGTTTGGGTTTGGCCCATTTTTATTGTTTATGTTGTTAGATAGCTCTAATTAGCTTAAGGATTAGTGGGTTAAAAAGAATTGGAGGTCCATGGTTCAAGACCTAGCAAGGGTGTAAATATATTACTGTTAACTACTGCCATTCAAAAGAAAAAACATTAGCTTAGATTAGTCCTAATTTGTATTTTAGGTAGGATCTTACGATCTACGTTACAATCCTTAAATTACAATCTTTCCCTCTTCCTCGTTGTCCTAGGTAGGATTTGAGTTTGCAAACATTGCAACTACAACAACCAACCCTTACCCCACTAGTGGGGTCAGCTACATGGATCAAACTATGCCATAATATTCTATAAAAACCATGCATGCTTCTATCCAACTCATTATTCTCGAGCTCATTTTTAATAGTTCCTTTTCTAAGTCTTTCCTCTACCTCTAGCGGTTTGAATACTCTCCATATGATCGACTTTCCTTACTACAACATGTACTAGTCTTCTCTCTACATGCCCAAACCACTTGAGACTATTTTCCACCATCCTTACCCCAACCATACAACAACAAACAAACCTTATCCCACTAAGTGGAGTCGGCTACATGGATCAAATTCTGACATAATGTTCCATCCAAGACCATGTTTCTATCCAGTTTGTTAATCTCAAGATCTTTACCCCAAGCATGGACACAATAAATATGTTAATACCTAAGGCAGTTTCTTTCAATTGTATGACTACCACACCTTTGTATTGGTCATTGAAGATTCTTCATTTAATCATTTTACAATTGTACCACAACCAAGGGTCTTGGCTTCTATTTAGGGTGTGTTTGGAAAACTGGGTTTTTATGGTCAGGATGCTCATGCATCAAAGTCCATAATTCCTAGCTTCTACGATTCCACGGTGAAAGTGCACTAAGATGCAAGAAATGAGAAACGGATGTGTATCCAAACATATGCTTAATATCTCTATTTGACTCAAAACTTTGTTATTAGCTATCATCATTCAAGAAACTCTGTTTGGTTTCAGTTGTTGCTCCTCTATGATGGCAAAGACACATCTATTTTTGTTGCTTCATAGAATATTTATTCATTTTTTTGGTCCTTGTTAGGAGTTATTATAATGAAGTCATTAGGAATTCGTCTCGAGTATATGGGCTCAGCCAACATATATTTCCCTAAGTAATTCTCTCTTAACTAAATTTTTATGGTATAATATTAATAGATTATGTTTTTCAATCACAAACGCAGGTTATTTGTTCTCCCTAAATCATGCACGATTGGTGGTATTAATTGGAACCGCATATGCTATGTATTCTGTTCAAGTAAAAGTTGGATGGCTGGGTGTCATCCTTGCCATAAACCTTGCATTTCTTTCAAATGACATTTTGAATTTTCTGCTCCAATTGTTTGACAACGTGAGTGAAAGTCCGCATTCTGAAGAGCAGAAGCAACCAGAACCAGTTTCGGAAGCTGACTTTGCTGAAGCATGTGAATTTCCTATCCCACCGGTTGAACCTGAGAATTTGCAGTCGTGCAAATCATCCAGTAAACCATCTGCTGTCACCACATCAGTTGTTGATAAGCAGAAAGAACTTTTGGTCAATAAAGTTGTTAGAGAGCAAACAAATTCAGTTGATGAAATGAGAAGGATATTGAAGAGTCTGAATCATTATGAAGCCCTTGGATTTAACCGCCACAAAAAGATCGATGCAGCAGTTTTGAAAAAGGAATACCGGAAAAAGGTATTTATTGTTGTCCAAATAAGATGATATTTTTACACAATAGAAATGAAGACAATATCCGACTAGCTTGTTTATGATATTTTACGAGGAATATTCCCATTCTTTTTTTTATTTGATCATGTAGGCTATGCTCGTGCATCCTGATAAAAACATGGGCAGTTCTATGTCAAGCGAGTCATTTAAGAAGCTTCAATGTGCGTACGAGGTAAAGTTCTATGTAAAAGCTGCAGAGGCTATCTTTATATTCGATATGTAGGCATTAAATGCAATATGAATTCCATATTATAATATATAAGACAAATATTTTTTTGCTTGCATTGCTTTCCTCTTTGACAATTATGAAACTTTTTCCAGGTTCTTGCTGACTCTGTGAAGAAGCGAGACTATGATGAACAATTAAGAAAAGAAGAAACCATGGCTAAAAGTGTCTGCCAGAAATCCCACAGTAGTTCACATCAGGTAAATCTCGCAATATTCTTGTGAATGTCTGACATATTCTAGTTGAGCTTTTGTGAATGATCTTTATTAGAAAAATAGTGATAGTACATGTTTGCTCCTCAGGATAATGCCGAATATCGTTCTGAAGAATCCAGGCGGATACAGTGCACGAAGTGTGGGAATTCACATGTTTGGGTGTGCACTAACAGGAGTAAGGCCAAAGCAAGATGGTGTCAGGTCTGATTTTGGTACCTTACATCCTATCCTGATTATCAAATTCTTTATTTCTATCACTTGCATGCTCATTTTGCATGGATTTTTCATCTTCTCTGGAAACAGGACTGCTGTCAGTTTCATCAAGCGAAGGACGGCGATGGGTGGGTCGAATATAAGGGGTCTTTAGTTTTTGACAGGCCTCAAAAAGTAGGCAAATAATTTTCCCTACTTAATCTCATTATTTGCATTTAGTTTCTCAACTTTGATCTTGTCTTCGCAGGTGGAAATCCCGCGTGCTTTCGTTTGTGCGGAGAGCAAAATATTTGACGTATCGGAATGGGCTATATGTCAGGTCAGTGTACTCTACAAACAATATTCTCGGTACACATAATTCATAATGACTGAGAAAGACTGTTCTTAGCTCCACTTTCTTTACCTGACACTTTATATCACGCAGGGAATGGCTTGCAGGCCTAACACTCATCGACCAAGCTTTCATGTAAACATGGTTGGTTTAGAGAAAAGCCAACGTTGCAACTCAAGTAGATTCCCATGGGATTTGGACGCTGAAATGATGATGGACGAAGACGAAGAGGCATTTGACCTGTGGCTTCAGCAGGCTTTAGCATCCGGTCTCTTTTGCGAGTCTTCCAAACGCAGGAAGAGTTGGAGTCCATTCAAATTGCCTCAAAAGAAAGGGAAAAAACAATGGCGAAGAACTTCGTGCTGAAAAGCTCAGTAGGGAAAATTCATAGTTCATCGCTTTATCCCTAAGGGATTGGATGGAGTAAACATCATTTTGTAGAAGAATATCAAAATGGATCGATGAGATCAAAACTAAAAGGAATTGCTAGAAACACTCGGAACAAGACGAGTCGCGAGAGAGCCAAGGTTGCCAATATTCCTTAAGGTTTTCAGAACTGAGCATAAGTAATGTGGTCTATTGTATTCTTGTTCTTATGTTAGATTAGAAGGTACTCTTTTTCAATGCTTACTAAGGACTATTCTTTGTCCTTTGTATATACATGCTAATAAAGAAATATTATCATTTGCCTTCAAATTTGTACTTTTCCTTCAAACTCCTTTCTGTTTTAATGAGTTGCATTTTGAAGAATAGAGTTCTTTATATGTAGAGAAATAAGGTGAGTGTATATGATTGGTCAATATAAAAAATAAATGTTTTTTATCCTTTATTTTGTGATACTATTATGGTATATACTATTAAATTATTCATAGATTGCTCGTTGCACCCTGTATTTTTTTAAAATGTCTTTCTTAGCATGTGGATTTTGCAATTCGGATGCACCACAATTTATTAATCCGAACTCGCCACAAAACACACCCACGATTCCTACATTACGATTCCTTTTGTTCGTAAACACAACTCTATTGTATTTAGACATCAAACACATTATAATTGTCTGAAATTATAAATAATATATATGTCTGTTGTAAATCTATGTGTTTGCAGGTATGACGTCTATATAAATATGTTTAACTTTGATGCTAACACCGCTCTTAAGTGAAGTCTTCATCAGAAGTGTTGATCAATTCGGATGTTTGAAGATTAAGATATCAAAGTTCATCTGATATGGTGATCAAGTTGTGATGTTTGAAGATCAATATATCAAAGTTTGTCTATGGAAGACAACACCTTATGTCAACAACATTTGGTGGAGTTAACGAGGATCTCTGATCAAATTGTGTGTCTAATGATGGTGTCTATTTTGAAGAGTTATCTCAAACCTCATTAAAAGAAGATTCAAAGTTTCAATGAAGTGTTAAACAAAAATATGTTTGGCTTACGAGGAAGAGAGGATGAGAGATTTTAAAAATTAATTTACATTTTAACTCTTAAAATAATATAACACCCATGCTAAATAAAATAAAAACAAAGTGATATTCACAATTTTTTTTTGTCAATTCATAAACAACATATATAATCAAACACAAAATATTAAATATTTCAAATACTCTAAAATATATAAATGCGTAAATAAAATATTAATAAATTTTATACAACAATTATATGATTCATGATCACATGAATCATTTTATCATCTTGATGATCCATCTATTCCTGTAAAATATTTATAAAATTAAATTCTAGATGACATATAAGAATCTTATACTACAAATATATATAGAGAGAGATGTAATAACACACAACAACTTATAAAACAATTAAGTTCTTACAAACAAAATAATAAATAAAAATGAACAAAATTAAATACATGAAAAAATAAAGAAAGTTGAATCGGTATATTAAAAGAAATAATGAAGTTGCTGTAAAAAATAGAGGAATTCTAATAAGGAGATAAAAATTAACTTATAATGTATATTAAAAATAATTAGGATTTTAATAAAAAGTGAGAGTAATTTTGTCAATATAACAAAAATAGATTTTATCATAACATCTTTCTCTTTCCTCCTTTTCAAATCCTTTCGATTTGGTGGGAACGAAAAAATATTTAAGGAGGGAATATAATTACCTCCAATCATCTTCCCCTCCCCTCATAGAAAACCCTGAAACGATAGCTTACACCCATCTAACCCAACTAGTAATTACTAGTTGGGCTACCTCACTCACTCATGTAAAGTTACTTTACACGATCATCCAATTAAAATTAATTATTTTGACACATAAGCATGAAATTAAAAATAAAATAAATAAATTATAATTAAATCATTTTAATAACTACTTCTTCCATATCTTTTTCTTCTTATGTGTCAAAATGATTAATTCTAATTGGATGACCCTGTAAAGTAGATTTACATTGTCAAAATATTCCAATAATCTTTCTCTTACATTTATAATAATATCCACTTCATTTTCTTTTAACTAAATTGTCTCTTTAGTCTAAAAAAATGACTTAATTGCAACTTTGATCATCCAATTATTCATTTTATTTATTTATTTTGATCCTCTTATTTTAAAAACTGGTTTATATAGTCATTTTATTATGTTATTTAGAATATTTTTGTTTCCCTCAAATTTGGGAGAATTTTTGATTCCCCTCCATCTGCTCACATTCTCTCGACAATCCTCACCGACATGTCGAGGAACCCACGGTGTACCAGAAAATTTCGGTGCCCGTTAATGTTGTTCCCATGATACATGCCCTATTCGCAGCGATCAATCAGACCAATTACTTGATCTTCGTGCAGGGAGAACGAATCAGAATGCTGGAGAAGACCCGTCGGTCACGCTCCCCTAGAAGACATGACTCGCGTAAACCGTCTCTACGAAGACGCGAAACCCATTCGCGATCTTCTCCGCGGAGACACCAACAGGAGGATTCTCAAAGCTCCCCTCCTCATCGTACTGGACGAGGCCCTCATCTAGAGAGAACTCAACTTGAAGTCATCAAGAAGCACAATCACACTCCACCGTGCAAAGAACGACGATCCCTCGCTCATAAGAGGAACAAGGGAAAGGAAGAAACCAAGAGAACTGGGGCAAGGAATTCTCCCCGCTGTGGAGACCACCAATTCAACCACTCCCCGTCTCGTTCCCCAGATTGTAGGGATGAAGATGACCCCCGCGGTCCACTATCCCAAGCTATTATGGAGGCCCCTATTCCCAAGGGAATGTAGAAACCTCCATCTTTGGGCAACTACGATGGCGCTACAGACCCTGATGATCACCTCGACAACTTCGAGGTAATGCTCCACTACCACAATGTCGGGGGTGCCATTAATTGCATGTTATTCCCCAAAACTCTGAGGAAAACTGCTATGGACCGGTACAAAAGCCTCGCCCCCAAGTTTATCACTCCGTGGAAGAGCCTGAAGATCCAGTTCGCCAGAAACTTCACAGCCTCTCAACGACACCCCAAGACTGAGGCGTCCCTCGAGGCGATCATTCAGGGGAGCGATGGACCTCTATGAGCATATATTAAGCGGTTCAATCGCAAGGACATCCCAGTCCCCACTACCGATCGCATGAAGAGGTACCTGCTCGAGAGGGGCCTTCTCTGGGAAGCGACTTCTGGAAGGCAGTCCGCATGAAGCCTCCTAGATCATTGGACGAACTCCTCCATAAAGCCCGAGCCTACATCACGTGCGAAGAGAAGGAGAACGTCAATAACACCCCCGATACCAGGAACCGTAGAACACCTGGTGCCTCGAGGTACAACAACGTTGACCCATCTCGACGAGCTAGGGATAAGATAAAAATGAAAAACCTCGCGATCCTTGCAAGCACAGAGGTCCAGCTGGACGTTTCACCGAGTACACCCCGCTAACCGCTCCCTGTGAGTGTATTCTCGCAGAGTCTGTTAATACTAAGTTCAAGGATGGTGAAGTTAGACAACCTAAACCTACACCCTCAAGCCCAGGGTCGACAAGACCAAATTCTGTTAGTACCACCGGAGCCATGATCACGTGACTGAAGGCTACATCCACCTGAAAGACACCATCGAGACCCTCATTAAGACAGAGAAACTGGGCAGTACAGAAGGAACAATGCCTCTTACCGTGACAATCGCGAGATGAAAGATATTGAGGAGGAGACACAAACCTCCGACGAGGCTGGCCCGCTCCAAGTTGCATCGAGCGTCTCACGACCAGAGGATTTTTACATCCCCGACAACGTTGATGACGAGGAGCCCTTGTTCACCCATAATAGATGGGAAAAATTCCCCGCTGCCATGGTCATATCCGGCGGGGGATTCAATGAATTTTCTGTGAATTTGCTGAAAAGAAAGTTCAACGAGCTGATAGATGCAGCCCCAATCCAGACCGTGACCCTTAACAGGTTCCAGGGAAAATCTGAGCCCATCACCTTATATCTCGAGGAACTGCCTGGTGGAGCTTCCAAACTGAACATCCCTTTGCTCAAGAGAAAAAATATGACCAACTTCAACTTGCATCTCATTCTGGTCAACAAGGGGAGTTTCGTTGACATCATGTACACCCAGTTGTTCCAGACTCTCCAGCTCGACATGTCCCACTTGTCACTGTACGTGGGATCCTATCTGTAAGGCTTCAATGGCTCAACCTTTAAGCCATGGGGCTACGTTAAGCTACTCGTCACGTTCGGGATAGTAGCTACCACTAGACAGGTCAAGGTCTACTTCCTAGTGGTTGACTGACCGTCTCTCTACAGTTTCATCCCGAGGAGGCCAACACTGGCTGAGCTGATCGTCGTGCCCTCCACGGTCCACCTGAAGATGAAGTTCTACACAAATAGGGGTCGCGTCGTCACCATTCATGAAGACATCTAAGCTGCAATAAGATGTTTCAATGCAGCCTCCAAGGGACAAAACATGGTCGACACAAAGCCACGAGCTGCCAACAGAGCAACCTCCTCGGTGGCAACAACGTCCTTGGCAGAAAAGCCTGCTCAAACTGAAGACCAGGAGGCTTCAGCCAATGTAGGATCCATTGACCTTGACACCCATTTCACCAAAGATGAAGTCGAAGTCCCTAATGGAGAGCAGGATCATCTTCGTCCCATCCCGATGGAGACTTTGAAATCACCCCCCTCGGCGAGGACCCAAAGAGAGGCGTGAAGATTGGAGCTGGACTCCCTGAACTGGCGAGGAAGTAGCTCGAAGCCTGTTTGAGGATGAATGCTGATTTCTTGACGTGGATCACTACAGAGATGCCTGGACTCAACCCTGAGGTCGCCTGCCACCAGCTCACTGTAGATCGTTAGGGCAATAGTTCAACATAGACGTAAGCAGTCTCCCGAGAAAGCGGAGACCGTTGAAAAAGCTATAAAAG